TTTTATTTAGAAAAACCTTTTACTGTTAATAAGTTAAGTAGCACTTGTTTTTTAAGTTGCCAGCTGTCGAAATTAAGACAGCCAGGAGACTTTCGCCCTGGGTCGAACATGAAAAACCGACATTACGGATTCCCCTAGCCTACCAAGAGACACTCAATTTCGCACAGCAGTACGTTGCGGTCTCCTGGCAACGTAGGGTGGCAGGATTTTCGGACTTCGAAGAACCGGTCTTCGTGTGAATTCCAGCTGCGAGCACATTTTTTCCCTTACACACATAAGCCTCTAACCTTGATGAATAATTGGGACTGCGACTTCAAGCTCCATTTCGAAAACTGTTCGACTTTTACTCTACCACTTACGACCATTCATAATGCTCGAAGTTCCATGGCACACACACAAAAGGCGAATGATCCATCCCGGCATTGTGCCAGACTAAGACACACCGCCTGCGAATGCTGAGGGACATTAAGTAGTCGAATGTTGCAAAACTCCAGATGGGTTAGCCGACTGAAGAGTCCACACCACAACAAATGAGCGTCACCCATGCAACGCGGCCGCCGTCTAAATACGGAACAATCATTGTAATGGTTGGTGTGCCATTGCCAACCGTGCGGCCCAACACCCCCTCCAGACTTGACTTCGCCACATCTACGTGTTTTGTCGGCCACCATAGCAGAGACACCAAATCTGACAAGGATTCGGGAAGATAACTTTGCCGACGAGTTCAACTAACTCTCGCCAAATTAAATATTTTAATATAAAATGTTGTAAATGTACGTGCGCTTGTCAATCAGTCATTTTCGAAGATAAGGCAGCCGAAAGCAGTATTCTGACATGACCTGAGGGAAACCTGTGTCAGCTAATGGGATGATGATGTCCTTGCATCTGCCCTCACTGGTACTGACTATTCTTTGCTAATGGATTCGCATTTTGTGTTTTATAAGCAACAAAATGTGACAGAGAATCAATCTTTTCGGTAGAATTCAAATTATACTTCGTGTTAGTTACTGGTGAAGAGTCGAAAAATAATGAGGCGGCCGTTCTTAAGCATGCTCGAAATGTACGTTTTAAAGGATAGGGAATAACCAGTGAAATTGTTAAAGCTGACACTGCGATGATCCATTAGACGCTCTTGTTAATAACGTATATCTAAAATTATCAGCAGTATACAAAGTTGCAGACCAAGGCCAACTAGCTCGATTTCCGTTCAAGTCTGTGCATCGAATACCTCGGGAGTAGTGAACCGACCAGTCTCCGAAGCGTCAGTTAAATAATATTGGCCTGACGAGAATTTATCGAAAGTACACGTACGCTCGCCAAACTAGTCTTCTGACTAATAAAACTGTTCAATCGAACCCCCTTTCTTTTTCAAATTAAATATACAGATGTGAAGCGGGCTCCATGCACCTTAGAACTCGGCCGATCGCCTCAATCAACCAGAAAGGTTTCAAGGATATAACATCACTGTCAATTCGTCAGATAGCCTCAGGCTGGGCAAAATGCGAAAACTCACCCTTAGTCCATATGATTTTCATATTCAACCGGCTAGCGAAGTCCCCTGTACAACTAAAGTTTTCAAATTTCGTCCCTCTTGCTGATACTCGTGTTAACAGATACTAATGTAAAAATGTATAGAAACAAATAACGATAAGTCCGGTTAACTTGAGTTTCTCAAAAAGGAATATAACGTAGGCGAAAAATACGACGGTCTTCTGATTCAGTCGAACAACTGTTTGCCTCTATCCTTGATGCTCTAGATTTAGCAGTAAGGGACGCCAGTAACAGTGGCGTCAAATAGAAGCCAAAAGGCACATCTTCGCAAAAAGGGACAAAGCAGAAACAAAGGGCCGAAACACACACAACCAATCTTATCTAAAGCTTCTTAATTAATATGGCCACAGCTTACCAAGAACCCGTCTGATGAGATGAGACTTTCCGGTGCCAGCACCGCCGGTACAGAAGACGTTAGATCCACGTTTTATGAGTTCAATGACGTATACCTGTTCTGAATCCTTTGAGCCATCAGACGGCTCTTCTGAGGTCTTATTATGCCAGGAGGAGATAATGTGGCTAAAGGTCCTGTCCGGGTGGCACGCCACTTTTCGAGGTTCAACGCTGGAAGGCGGTTTAGCATTACGGATAGGGGTAGAATTGAGAGCTCGGGAAGAGGATTTAAAGAAAGGCGGTGATGCTGGAACATTTCCTAAAAAGTAACAAAAATCAAAGCACGTAAAAAGAGGAGAAAAAAGAATAATTTTCTAGTTCAAGCACTCCAATACCAGCTAAAGACTGGATATCTAATTTAGTTTTTTTTTTCAAAAATGATCTGACCCCAGTATTATCTTTAATAGGATCTCCTTCGATTATTAAATATACTTCTCACTACACGGGAGCCTGTTAATACCATCGGATAGGAGCTTAAGTCGCGTCTGAGATGGTGCGTTCACTTTTTTATTTGTATTCGTATTACGATTGAATAGCCAACCCTTATCTACCCTCCAATTTGCCTGATCAAGGTGATTTGTAATTTCAAGCCAACATACTCGTTAAGACTGGAAGAGATGGCCAGGTAAATCAGAGATCCGGTATTCGGGAAGCCTGTAGTTCGAACCCGTACTACTGATGAAGCTTTCTAATAAACCTGATTTGTCGCCTGCTCCTCGAAAGTGGGCTAGGAATCCTGTGCTACTGTTACGAGTTACGGGTTCCGGTATAGTGAAATATTTAATCTTTTGTGACTCGTCCCCGTTCTTATTTCGAAATGGTTCGGGCATATCAAAGTGGGGGGACAAACAAAAAATAGATTTTCATTAACAGTTTTGGTAACGCAAGAAACTACATGAGTCTATTCGATAGCTGTTGAAACAAAGTAATTCGGAATATCGATTTGCAGTTTATTTTAGAGGGGCCATTCGCATGCTTCCAGGCTTTTAAGCAAGCTTTCGGGCGGCGGTAGACATCATCGGTAAAGAGTAAGAGAAGCGATACACACATGGCTTCCGATAAAACCAAATGCTTCTTTTTTCAAATTGCAAACTTTTTCAGTAAGGTTGTAAGAAAGTTTAGCACCGCTCCACTGTTTGTCGTACA